AAGATACACCAGAATGACCAAAATACCCCTGACTCGAGCATTCTAACAGTTACAAAGGAACACCACAGAGACTTGTTTGAAAGCCCTTACTAGAAAATGATTTATGGTAGAGTTCCTAGTGGGAGATATGGCCTACCTACATTTATGGCCTTACAGGCGGGTTATTGTGGCTAGAAAAGCTTGGCAGAAGCTTGCCCCTTGCTTCTCTGGTCCTTTTCATATCTTGGAATGAGTTAGGCCGATAGCTTACAAGCTGGACTTGTTGGCAACCTCAGACTCCACCCCATATTCCATGTCTCTCTAATTCTCTACTAAAGAGATCCCTTGAGCTAGGTGCCATTACAAGTCCCTCCTTGCTAATTGAAGAAGGCACCCTTTAGGTGGAGTTGTCTCAAATACTTGACTTTCATCAGTTTCAACATGAATGCATGGTATGTAAAGAATCTTTGGCCCTTTGGTTTAACTTGATCTCAGAGGGCGCTACCTATGAATTTTATGACATGTTACAGGAGGAGTTTCCCCATTTTGACCTTGAGGCCAAGGTCAATCTCAAGGGGGTGGGAATTGTTAGGTAACAACCTAGGCCCATAGAAGACTCAAGGCCCAACGCGAGTGCTCCTAAGATCAAGGATCAGCCTAATGTTATTGCTCACTCCCATGCATGCTTTAAGAATGTATATGCTGGACATCCACAACAATATAATTGACTCATGTAATCTCTCTCTCTTTCTCTCTATTCTGTTAATTGGGCCTTGATGTAAAAGCATATAAATAGTGGAATGTTGATGGTGGGATTTCCTGAATTTCCCAAATTAAATTCCACACACTCTCTCTCTCTCTCTCTCACCCCCATTCTTGTGCTTTCTACGTCTATTTTATGAGGTTCATCCCTCAAAAAAGCTCTGGTGTCAGGCCATTCCTAACAGAAAGAAAGCCTTATGATAACTGTATATTATGAAAGGACCTTTACTTATAAAAAAGGGACCTTACATGGAGATGTGTCCAACTTGAATGCAAGTTGTGGTTGATGAATTGTCATTAATTCATTGAACCAAAGATTAAAGAATTTCTGATATGATTAACCACATATATACCAAGACACACCATTATATCTTACATAGCAAGGCGACAAGAAGAAAATGGGAATTCAACTTAGTGAGGAAGAGATTCATAATGCTGTCTTCTCAATGGACAAAGCTAAAGCTTTGGGCCCTGATGGTTTCTCTGTGGCCTTATACTAAGATTGCTGGGATATAATAAAAAATGATTTGATGGGGGAGGGGGTTGGTTGAATTTCACTCTAAAGGGGAAATTTCTTCGGGGGGCAAATGCTACCTTCCTAGAACTATTGCCTAAAAAGAAAGAGGCCAAAACCCCAAAAGATTATAGACCCATTAGCCTGGTGGGTAGCCTCTGCAAAGTGATAGACAAGGTCTTGGTAGTTAGACTAAAAACTGTTTTGCCCTTTGTAGAAGGGGGACAAATAGTGGACCAGATTCTTGTGGCAAATGAATGTGTGGCAGAGAAAAAGTAGGGAGGGAAAGGTTTAATCTGTAAATTAGATTTAGAAAAGGCCTATGATATGGTGGATAGGTCTTTCCTAATGGCTGACTTGATGAACTTGTTTAGAGGTTGGAGATTAGGAAGGGATGAGGTGACTGCAACTCATTTGCAATTTGCTGATGACATAATCATTCTTTGTGAGGAAGGTGATATATCCAGTATGAGGAATCTAAAGGAATTGGTGGAGGTTTTCCCAAGGATATCAGGATTGTAAGTGAGCTGGGGGGAAAAGTTATGTGGTGGGAGTCAATATGGGAGGAGTTAACATTAGGATAGTGGCAGAGATTCTTGGATGTGAAATCAAAGTCTTTCCCCTAGAATATCTTGGAATGCCTTTGGAAGGATAATCCGAGAATAGAAGGTTTTGAGAAACCTGTAGTGGAAAGATTTACTAAAAAGTTAGTCATGTGGAAGAGAAATTACATTTCTTTGGAGGGTAGAATAACTTTGATTAAATCCACTTTAGCCAACTTACCTATCTATTTACAGTCCACTTTTGGGATCTAGTGAAGGACCGAAGGTGGCAAGGCAACTAGAAAAGGTTATGACAGACTTTCTGTGAGAATCGTGAGATGAGAAGAAAAGGACCATTTGGTAAAATGGGAACATGCAAGCCCAAGTATCAAGGGGGCCTGAGCATAGGGAATTTGGTAATGAGAAATACAACTTTACTAGGAAACTGGCTAGAGAGTGATATACTTTGGCACGAGGTCATTAAAAGCATATGGAGTGGCAGAAAATGGCTGAGATGCAAAATTGGTGACTCACACTTCATCAAGTTCCCCTTGGAAAGCAATTTCTGAGGTACTACCTTCCATTTTAAACTTCATTTGTTTTGATGTGGGTAACGGAAATAGTGTTTTATTTTGGGAAGATCTTTGGGTTGATGAGCTGCCACTTAAGCTACAATTCCCTAATCTTTATTCCCTTTCAAATTACAAATTGGAACCTATTGCTAAATTTGGTGTAATCACCACCTTAGGGTTAAACCAAGATTTTGGTTTCACAAGGGGTTTGAGGGATAGTGAATGTAATTCCCTGATTCTTTTACTGTCAAAACTAGAAAATGTTTTTTTTGGACCCGAGTGTTTCTGATGCAAGAGTTTAGTCTCCTTCCATTGAGGGTTTGTTCTTGTGTGCCTCCTTTTTCAACCTACATGTACACTTGGACTCCAGGGGGTGAATTTCCTGGTGAAAGAGATTTGGTGTCAACCTATCCCTCCAAAAGTTCAAGGTTTGTGTTGGGAAGTGTTCCTTGGAAAGGTTAACACCTATGTCAGGCTATAGAAAAAAAGGCCTAATATATGCCTTTCTCCTCTGTGTGTCTTTTGTAAAGCTAGTGGTGAGACTCTCCCTCATTTATTAATCTCTTGTAATTTTGTGATTGGTATTTGGGATTTTGTCTGTTCTCTTTTTAGTTGCAGATGAGACACCCCACAAGACGTGGTAAGCCTATTCAACTCTGACTTCTTGAGGCAACAGAAAAAAAAGGGAAGGATTTTATGGAGGACAACAAAAACAGCTATAGTGTGAACTATGTGGGAGGAAAGAAACCTAAGGATCTTTAGTGAAAAAAATAGAACCAAAGAAGAGCTGGTTGAGGCAATAACAGCTAGAACTGTGCATTGGGTAAGAACTTTGGAACTCTTTAGGGAGTATTCAACTAATATCATTCCAAGAGCATGGGATGAAGAGGCATAAATAGGAACACTCAATAAAAGATTGAGAATGGATTGGCAACCCCCAGCCGAAAATAGACTAAAGCTTAATTTTGATGGCAGCTCAATGGGGAATCTAGGAAGGGCAGGAATAGGAGTCTTTAGAAATGTTGAGTGGGCTGATTTATGTTGGGCCGATTTATGTTTAGTTTGTTTTCTTTTAAATTAAGAAGTTGTTGGGCCTTGGGCCCATTAGTCTTTTATTTTTAAAAGAATTGTAAGTACTTAGTTGAGTTGCTGCCCTACTA